TCATTTGTGGGTTATATTTTGTGCATTGATTCAATATATAAAAGATGACAGTGATAAATAAAAAGAATAATAAAGTAAAATGAACAAAGTCACATCAAATAGACTTTGGGATTTGGGAGCAGGATATTAATGTCATGTTGGATTAACATAGGCTATTAGTATTAGGAGTTCGGATGCCTATATTAGATGAGAGATCTGTAAATGTGGTATCTTCTCAGATGTTAAACTTGGTGCTGAACGCCTCCACATTGGACCAATTGGCGTACCACACAGCAAGGAAAAGTTTACACTGCCGGAAGATTGGTACGATGACGAGGAAGAAAACGAACACAAGGACACAGAGAATAAAGAAGAGACAAGTAGAACGGAGGAGCCCATCCATTCGGAAAGCAAGAAAGACGAGGTGAGAGAGGAGAGCGATCAGCAATGAAGCAAGTTGCATGCTGTCTAAATCTGTCTTCTGTTTCAACATTTAGGAGAAAAAATGTAACAGTGTCTATTATTAGATTATTGACATTGATCTTCGTAAATGTGTCTGAAATGATGCCATTCAAAGTGTGATTTATTCTCCCATGATTATATGGTTTGTTTTTAGTTCAAAGCACCTTGAAATATGATTTCTGATGATTGACCTAAAATTAAAGGAAAATTTACTGATACACTTGTAGTGACTTAAGTGATCACTGTGGCCTGTCTCATTTGACAGTGAAAAAAAAGGACTTTTTCTGGCAAGATACAACTTAAAGACCAGTCAGAATATACATGATTGTATATTCTGGTGCAGTTGGTGTTTCGTAGTGCAGACAGCACATAGGCCATAGCAATCGCATGAGTCATTGCCAGTAAATCAGTTTCATTTTGAACTTCAAACTCTAACTTTTACTTTGCCCCCATTTCAGCCATTTGAACAAGGCTTTAAAGGTCAACAAAATGCAGGCTTTGGAATGCCTGACAGAGACATGCAGCAAGGGCCGTGGCAAGGGGACAGGAGAGACAGACCGGTGAGGAAATTTGTTCGCTTTCCCTGTCTCTATACTCATGCATTTGATCATTATCATCATCTGTCACTTCCTCATACTGCTCCTTTAAAAATATTATTGTATACAATCATACGACAATTAATGTCTCTTTGGGCGACATCCATATTCAGTTGCTTATACATTCCTGCTCCCATGCACTGTATAATATCTGATTTGGCAATGTGCATGCTATATGTATTTCCACAGTCTTTTAATAGATCAGAGTTACTTTAGTAAACATTTTATTTGTGGCCGTGGAGGGGTTTCTGTACTTGTCTCCTGGTGTGGAGTTTGTATAGAACTGATACTTGGCTTTACAGGTATGAAGCTATGGACCCAATCTGTGTGTAGTTGTATGCAATTTTAATACCTTCCTTATAGTACAACCAAAGTTCAGATTTGGTGTGGAGCATAGAAGAGATGGGAATTTTTTTTTCTTTCATTTTTTCTTTTTTACACAACATTGTAACTTTAGGAGGTTGGGAACATTTTGTTTATCCCTGGGAGCCAGTTCTCAGAAAGTTTCTCCTGCGCAATTTTTGTCATCTATGAAGAACTTTCATAGAATATGTCAATGTTACATACATTGACCCACACGACTTAGCACTCACCAATGCAGTGCAAAGATCCATTACTTTTAATTCAATCTCCAGGTAATATCACAACCTAAAATGTCAGTTGTATCAGAAGGTTGAAGGGGGCTTGATATGCAAGTGCTTGCTTGCAACATAATATGAGCACTGCAAACAAGAGCAGGGTGTATTTTGTTTTTTTTTCTTTAACGGGTAATTTTATATGTTGCTGTTGCAGATGTATGGCCAAGACTTTGAAGGCCAACAGAAACCAGGTTTTGGAATGCCAGACAGGGACATGCAGTCACCATGGCAAGGGGATAATCGAGACCGGCCGGTGAGAAAGAAAAACATTCCTGTTACAGATTTCTACCTTTGAAATGAAACAAATTTGTGAAAGGAATACAAGTATGAGAGAAATAATGATATGGATCTCGACAGTATCAGTAAGATTAAATATAGGAGAGATTCTTTCAAAATTTGGAAAGAATAGTTATTTATCTTAATCTTCTTGATCTTTTTTTACGTGTAGAGTTGGATAAGATCTTTTCGTTTTGTATTCCAGCCGTTTAGACAGGGCCCAATGGATCCTCAGCGTCCCAACAGGCCAGAGTCTAATCCACGGGCACCAGACACCATGATGCACGAACGCTGGGGGTAAGTAGAGGAAGCCGGCACAAAGAGCTGTTCATGAGTTGGTTTTGAAATTTAAGAAAGTTCTAAAGTACCTTTTTGTTTGGAGTGAGCTGATGGAAGAAAATTTTGATCTCAAGGACTAATGAAAGAAAATTTGATCTTATGTCTTTCTTTTTTCACAAGCAATCGAGAGGATGACCCCAGACAAGAGCGCTTCCCGAGGGATGGGGGTCCAAAGGGCCGCTGGGGAGAAGGCTATGACAGGCACTGGGATGACCGCTATCCAGGAAGAGGGGGTCCCGATGACCGATACAGAGATGATCCTTACTACAATAGGTGGGATAATTATGGTGATCGAAGAGGCCAGGAACCCTATTGGAGGGACGAACGCGACCCTTACTACGAGGACCGCTATGGGAGAGGATCAAAAGACTATTATGACTGGCCACCTCATGACAGGGATTACTACGACCGAGACAGAGAGCGCTTTTATCCAGAGGGCAGGGGTCCGAGAGGGTCCTTCGAGAGGAACGAACCGGGCTTTGGCACAGAACCCCGGAATTTCCATGAGAGAGATAGAAGAAATAGCTTTGAGCGAGAGGGGAGGGAATTTTATGACAGAGACAGAAGGGATCCGTATTATCGAGGGGATCGAGACGACTTCGGGAGAGATTCTCGGGACTGGAGTGCACAGGCTGTAGAAAACCGAACAGTTGTGGACTATGGACACAGTGGACCTGGCTCAGGTATGATATGATATCAACAGTGTTCAGTGTAACTACTATAGTAATAGATTTGAATGAGAATAAATGTCTTCACAGGCAAGAGGAGTATGTAACTGCATTTGATTATATATTCATCAATAATATAGGTGTTTCTAAGGAAGATTTGATAGAATCCTTGTTAAATATATCTTTTGCAATAAAGACATTCATTCTCATTCATACCTTCTTCAATGGTATGATCATTTTATTTTCATTTGATATCAGAATGGGATTTTTTATAATAAATTGTAGCTTCAGACATGATATTGAAAACAGAAAAGTGTTATTAAATGCTGGATTACTGACGCCTTGGTTTAATCACTTTTAGGAGGGATGAAAATGCCACCAAATGAGGGATCACCTTTTGGAATGGGAGCTGATATGCCAAAACAGGTAACTGCTGAATATTTCTCAAAATGGAATTCATGAAAGAGGATATATTAATAATGAGGAAATAGAAATTGTAGATAGATACACATACATACATTTCTCTCTCTTTCTCTCTTTCTCTCTCTTTGATCTATATATAAACCTATATATCTAAGATAGGGAGATAGAGAGATGATTCCTGCATATCAGATCTGTTACTAATCATATCTTGGATTTGACCTCTTTCAGGGACAGGCTAACATACCAGAGCATGTAAGAAGAGACCCTAGCTTCAGAATGGGAAGTGACGACAGAAGAGACAACCGGAGACTTGAGAACTCCCCAAGACCACCTCACTTAGATCGCAGCCATAGTAGATCTCCATCTAAAAGTAGCAGCAGGTGTGTTGTGGTGTTTCCTTCTTTTTCATTTTCACAGGAAGCTAATGTTTTCTGGCATTCCATGATAAAGACATTTTGATATTTAAGTGTAACCTGCAAATGTTGAAGCATTAATTCTAACATATAAGATGTATGGTCTTTGCATTTTTCCTCAGGAAGTAACAGAGCCTTTTTCTTCTTCTTCATTCTTAAAATAAAAGTAAATTTGTGTGTTTGTTTAGTTGTGTGATGATTCAAATTTGCACTTCAGTAAGCAGATGAAGCCCTCAGAAAGTGGGCACACACCACCACTGAATCAGCCATCCAAGGAGCAAGATGAAGTGGGGGACGTGGTCACTATTGAGGATCTGGTTTCGGTCCCTGGGAGGTTCATGAGGCCTCCCAAGATGGTGATCATTTTAAGAGGACCTCCGGGCTCAGGCAAGACAACATTAGCCAAGATGATAAAGGTATGTTTGCCAGGAACTATGGAGGTAGAATTGTGTTTTGTTGTGGAAGTGCATGTATAATTTGTTTATTTAGTTTATAATTTGTTTGGTTTACATTTCCTGCTTTCTGTTTTAGGATAGAGAGGTTGAGAATGGTGGTAACCCACCAAGGATTCTCTGCCTTGACGACTATTTCATGGTGGAAACGGAGAAAATGACCACTGATCCAGATACTGGGAGAAAAGTGAAGACGAAGGTAAGAACTAAACTTTTTGGAGGTTTACTTTTTACATTTGTAATTCCTTAATATATAACCTAACTTGGCAAACTTCAATTGCATTTCTCTGTCATCAGTCAATACAAATATAAGCTTTTAAATTTTTGAGAGAGAATTAAGGAAATGAAAAGGTCAGTTGAGTTGGTTATTTTTAAAGCACAGGGAAATAGTATGGTACACAGAAATTGAGGGAAAGTGAATGAGCACCATTATTGAGAAAAAAACAAATTGTATAAAGTAAGTGATTTGTTAAAATAGGATTAATATATTACAACAGATCCCACAGTTAAAGTACATTACTGTCTAGGCATGTAGCAGTAGGAGAAGGGTAACAGATTTGTTACTGATGTACATCACTTTTCTTCTTTTTGTCTAGATTATGGAGTATGAGTTTGAACCAGAGTTGGAGGAAAGCTATCGAATGTCACTAATTAAATCCTTCAAGCGGCAAGTTGACGATGGCTTCTTCCCTTTCATCATTGTGGATTGCGTTCACAACAAAGTGAAACACTTTGCTGAAATGGCCACCCATGCCAAGAAATGTAATTTTGAGGTATGTATGGGAGTTGTTTATTAACCCCTTTCTGACAGGTTACGCTGTGAGGCATGAAAACTAACCGCTCGATATGTGGCATGCAGCTGTATGCCACGGCAGCACGCCAAAGAGCTTTGAGCCAGTGATTCAGCTTGATGTACTGAATTCCCGTGTTCAAAGTCAGCGTGTTGCCATTGATCTCCAGAACTTAGTTGTTGTTTTTTTGTTTTGTTTTTTTGTTTTTTTAGTTTTCTTCACCCATCATCAAGGGGTTAAGTCATGTGGGGTGGATGAGAGACAGCGAATGTCAGTGAAATATTAAGTGATTGGATAATTTGATAGGTACTTTACATATTTCTGATGAGATTTCTGTAACTGTACAATGACCATTTAGAGAAGTATGTCAGTTATTATGGAAAGAGTAGCTGATTGTGTTGAATCAGATTAGACATACTTTTCAGCAATTTTTAAATACGAGTTTTGTTTTGTCAGATAGTTGCATGTATAAATGTGTGTGTATGTGTATATGTCCATGGTTGCCCTTGTATTTCCTTTGATAAATGGTGATTTAATACATATACTCATACATACTCAGGTATGTCTACTCAGTTCCTAATTTCTATATCTAATATTTCAGGTATATATTGGTGAACTAGAGGTAGATCAGAGTATCTGCCACAGAAGAAACACTCACAACCACTCCAGAGAACACATCCAGAGCATTATTCGCCAGTGGGAGAAGACGCCGGCATCGTATACAAGAGTAGATCTGACTCCTTTCATTCAAGATGCTGCAATTGAAGAGGTTAGTCCCTCTCACTCCCCTATCTTTCAGTGGAGAGTCATAGAGACTTTCAGGTGTCGGATCATGTGGAGCATTTGTTTCATATGATCTGATGCTATTTGTAAGTGGGTTTTTTATATATACAGTGTGGGACTGATATGGGACATTACATGATTTGAAAGCGATGATGCATACATAGGATAGCAGTATGGGAGGCATGTCCTTTAACAGATTTTAGATTATTTTTCTTAGTTTTTGAGTTAGTAGATATGTTTTTTTAATACTTTTTGTTCAAATTTCAGTTTTGTTTAACATCCTCTGTCTCTTGCTGCTGCTATCACATGTTTTTTTCTTTTTCTTTTTCTTTTTTTTTTTATGAATTATAGAAAGAAAATTAAACAGAAAACACTACACAGAATTGGATGTTCCAGCTTATGAGTTGTTAAAAGAGAAAGTTCACATTTAGATGGTGATAGAAAGTCCCATACACTACATGCAGTAGCTATTAAAAAAGTGAAGAGGTAATTTAGTGCCAGAACATTAGAAATTTGCAAAAAAAAAAAAGAAATGGAACCTGTTGCAGAAGTCATAACATATATCCTATGTCCACTATAATTTTTAGTTTAATATTGGTGTTTTACACATATATGGCTCCACAAGTTCTTAATCACCAAGTAGTCAGTTATTAGTCCTACCTATCTCACCTGTTTATCCATGTCCTTGTTTTAGGGGAAAATTATGTTTGATTTTTATTGTTATTATTATTTTAAGCATTTCATGATAATCATATTGTCAATAATGATGATAGCAGTTTCAATCTGAACATTACTAGAATAAAAACATTTTTCCCCAAAATTCAAATAATGGGAAAATCAGATGCATTCATGAAGGGTTTACCAATTGGCTACTTGGTGTCTGAGCACTGAGTACTTGCCAAGCCATCTGTGTAGAATAGTTCATTTACGGTGAACAGTACATGTACCCACAGCCAATGGGTTAAGCATAGGTTACTGATGATGATAGAAATAAACTTCTCTTATTGAGTTGTTTGCAGTATATCTTAGTCCTTACAGATAATTATAATTTAATATGTTTTTCTATAAATATGTTAACCCCTTGTTCGCGGGTGGCATCTACTATGATGCCATGGTGGCAAAGTGCTAATGCCGTGGGTGTCAACCCTACAGATGCGGCCCATACAGATATACCTGTTTGGTGGACCGCATGGCCACCAAAGAAGCCCGCGTACGTGGGGTTAAAGTGAGGCTAGTAGAAAATTTTCCTGCAGTATATATATATATATATATATATATATATATATATATATATATATATATATATATATATATATATATATATATATATATACATACATATACATATATATACACATATATATACATATATATACACAAATTATTTGATAAGGCAGTTTCATGCCCTGAGGTGGTATAACCCAGTGGTATAATGCTGGCTTTGCAGTCACAAGGTCCTGAGCTCGCAAATGGTCACCCTTCTCAGTCAACTCAGCTGTAAGTGAGTACTGGCATGCTAACATCAGCAAGCTGGGTCAAAGTTGGAGTGGAAAAGAATTAGCCAACCACCCTACCATATTATCCTGGGGCTTAGTACACATGATCCCTCCGTCCACTTGGATATGGGACCAGCAATACATTCTGTAGGGTGTCACAAAGGTGGCTGACATCTCCCCCCAAAGTAATGATATAGTTCAAAACACAGGCGTAGGACATCAAATGAAGCCACAGAGAAATTGATTTCTGCCAAATTATTTCTTGCTGTATCTTTTTGAAAAACAGTTCTTTGATTTGTGTGTGTGTGGAATTGTGTATATATATGTATGAGTGGTTGCATGTGTGTATATATTTATACATTACTTCTATATTATGAATAAGAGGAGGAGAGACAAGTGGAATTAAATTTGGACAGCTGTAGTGGGTAGAGAGACCATTATAGAGTTCCTGTGCTTTACACATTTATATTTGGTGTACACATAGCATTGTTAGTGTATGGAGAGAATATGAAAAATATTGGCTTTTGAACCATGTTGCATCTGGATGTGAGAGTGAAGTACAGTGAAATAACAGTAAGAAAAAATGATAAACATATTTCATTTAGATAAGGAATTTGAAGATTGCTTAGTTTGATGGGAAGAAAGTATCGACTTTTGACCTTTAGGAAAGTCAGAAGAATGAATGTGAGGGGCTGGATTTGTAATTAAATATTTGGATGGTAAGAAAGTAGCATTTAATGAGAACAGATTAGGGATTAGATTAAGAATTACAGTATAGATGGGAATGGATTAGCACACAAAATGGGTAAAAAAGGTGAATGACCGTGCATCTGTCATATCCAACGCCTAAGAGACTAAAAAGATATTGGAATTAGAGAAAGTTTACTTGTAAATGTAAAGCAATTAACCTTAAAGGAAAGAAAAGTTCAGGGCTTTTATATGTGCACAGGTTTAGAAAAAAAAAAAAAAATTGAGAACCTGAAAAAAAGTGAAAAAATTGTCTGTTAAAATTACTTATTCTGTCTTTCACAGGGTGTACTGTAATGACCTAAGTGCTGTATAATGTGTGCCCATAGGATGGGGGAAAATAAAAATTATATTAACCCATTGCCGCTGGAGAAAATGCTGTGCTCATTTTTTATATTTTTTTTGTGAAATGTTTCTACATATAGATGGCTCTGCCTTACCTGATTTCATCTTTCCTTTAATTGGCGGGAAAATGTATTTTTTTACTAGTGCTATGAATATCGATGGTGTTATTTTTATTATAAACATTATAATTACTATAATGTTTTTGAAAATTAAAGAAAAGGGTGAACGGGTGAGATAGGCAGAACTCGTAATTGGCTCATTGGTGACTTAGTACAAGTGTAGCCATCTATGGGTAAAAACAATCAAATAAGTAAACTCACAGTGGGCATGGCATGTCATACCCATCGGCAATGGGTTAATGATTGTAAAAGGAAGCCTTGCTATCTTTGCCATGGGTAGTGGACATATTTATGATGATGGCTGTATATTGTCCTTTAGGGGCTAAGGTACTTATAAGGACATTAATTTATGGATAACATTGCAATGAAGTTTGTTTGAGCGAACAGCATTTTAGGATTGCATGACTTTATATTAAAAAAAAGTAAGTGTGGTAACAAAGGACTGTCATTTCACTGTGCCTAGACTAACACTCTAAATGTTTCAGGTGGAAATGGAAGATTCCATGGAACCAGCAGCTACAGATAAAGAGAATAAAGAAGATGTAGAAGATGAAGATGAGGACAAGGAAGCCTTCAAAAAGGTATGTCACTCAGGTGCTGCCCTCGAAAACCATAGAACTGGTAACCATCACAATATTAGCAAACAATTAAACCCTCCTCAAGTTAAAAATATGGCCTATAGCCAGAGCAATTCATCTGGGAGTGCCAAGAAACCTGGCTCTGGACAAAGATTCTCTGGAGCAATAGAAAACAAGCAAAGTAATTTAAATAAGCGGGTTCATCAACCTGTTCCCCAAAAGTCTAATAGTCTCAGCCAGCAAGGAGTTGGGAAAATAGGTCCATCACAGAATGAGAATAGTAAAAAGGATAAAAACCAAGTAAAACCTAACCAGGGTGATAAAAAGCAGGGTGTAGTAAATCCTGCACAGAGCGAAGCCAGTGCTAAAGACCAGGGGAAACAGGAGAGCACCTCGGCGAAAAAGGAGCCGGAAAGAAGTGGAAGTGTGCCGCAGAAGACAGGAAAAGGGGGGGATAAGAGAAATTCTATCCAAGCAGGTAGTCAGCAGGTAGGAGGTCAGCGAGTTGCAGGTCAAATGGGAGCCATGAGCTGGGCCTTAGGGAACCAGTCTGTCAGCTGGGGTGGGTTGGCGAGGGGGTTTAGCTGGAGTGCCGCCAGGTTGAGTGGGGTCAGCTGGGGCATGATGGGGGGTGCTGCTCCAAGAGGAGGGAGGGGAGGGGGGGTTAGCTGGGGCACAGCTGGAAGAGGTAGGTTGAGTTGAGCCGGCATTGTGTTGGTTTCAACGTAGCAAGGGTATAGGTGCCAGTAACGAGCAAAGGCAACTTGTGAAGGTAAAATTAGAAATGGAAAAATTAGTGATAGTTTGGCTAGATGTCTCAAGAGTTCTAATCTTCTTTTTTAAATTTTTTACTCTTCCTTTTTTTTTTCATCATCATCTCTTGACATTTTCATTTGCAGCAGTAAGAATAGGTTATGTTTTCAATATCCAGTAATAAGTATGTTCAGGTGTGATACTCTGGTGTTTGGATAAATGCTCCCTTACAGGTTTGCAAAGATGCAAAGGCTGACTTATTATAGGATATTATTCTAAATAGCACTCAACCATAATTCCTATTACTGATGAATGCTTAACTTAAGTCACCCTGTCATACTTACTGTTAAGACGAAGTGGAGTAAGAGCACCACAGATTTTGTCCACAATACAGTATTATCATCATTATTTGCAAGTGATCTCATTGAAAAGCTTTGCTCAAAGTTAAGAGATGGTCAGTTGAAAAGAGAGAAACAATCGATGCTGTGAAGGAAAGTCATAATTATAACTTTATATGGAAGTTTTATATATGTATATATGCTCGAAAATGTATTCAAATGTCTGATTGGTATGTTTAATTTATCAGTAAGTATGACATGATGTTATGATTATAATTCTTAAAGTTTTTTATACTGAATAAAGATAGAGAAATTGTGCCGGTATTCTGCATAAGTGTTTTATTGGTCATTCTTGAATTAAATTATTAGACTTTGACAACAGATATGTAATTTATGTAACATCTGATAAAGGAAATGAAGATGGAGCTTGATCTCTCTGATTTGAACGTTCTTATTGTTCCCTGAGAGGGAACTTCAGTTCTATTTATTGTTTATGTTGTCCTTTGAATATAGTGAGTTACAGGTTTGTATTTTCCCCCTTTCTTAAATGCAGAAAACCAAGGAAACTAGTGAGTAGGGTGAAAAAAAAACATGAGTGAAAGCTATTGGAGGTATTGTGATTAAGAAATAAAAAGGCTGAATGAAATTAGTGGAAAAGTGACTACAGATAAGCTGGGTCCTTCATATTCTTTCTGTGCTTTGACAGTGTCAGTAATACCACCAGGAAAATACTGACTGTACTTTGAAAGTTTGTGATGGTTATGTGGTATCACTTTTTATGGGAAATAAGCAGGATTCAGTCCACAAAAATATTTTTGAAATTAGTACTGATTTTCTGTATTTATTCAATTATTTATCTTCAGAATGATAATATTATTATTATTATTATTATTATTTTAATAATGTAATATTTCAGTTTTTGTTTTGCCAAAGAAAATGAGCTTCTTTGTTGATGTACTAAGTATCTCTAGTAACATGTGATATATATTTATATTTTTTTTTATGAATGAGAGAGAGTTGAAGATGGAGAGTGTGAAAGACTGTTGTAGATGCATAATGTTGTTTACATGTCTGTGTATGCATATATAAGACTGTAAAGTATTTGTGTGTTTGTATGTTGCACTCACACTGCCTGACTATTTACTTGGGCCTGGAGACCATGATTTCTTGCTGTTTTCTGAACCAAAGCGTAGTTTATGTTTACAATATGAAATAAACTATAAAAAGTCAAGAACAAGGTTGTATTTAACATCCGTAAAATAATTTACTTCCATAGCAAGGTACATTTGTACATATGGAATAAAGATATCCAGTTAAAAGCAAATAAAGTAATGTAGAAAAGGGCAAATGAACACAACATTTTTTTTTTTTTTTTTTTTAAGAAACTGTGAGGCAGGTAAAGGAACCTAAGAGACCGTGGCTGAGCAGCAAAGTCTTATGAAAGCTGTAAGACCTAAAAGTAACTTTTTCCTATTCTTTACAGTCTTTTGGAACAAGTAAATGGTTAGGGTGAGAGAGAGAGTGTGTGTGTGTGTGTGATTGCGTGTGTGTGTGTTAGTGCGTGTGTGTGTGTTAGTGCGTGTGTGTGTGTGTTAGTGCGTGTGTGTGTGTTAGTGCGTGTGTGTGTGTGTTAGTGCGTGTGTGTGTGTTAGTGCGTGTGTGTGTGTTAGTGCGTGTGTGTGTGTTAGTGCGTGTGTGTGTGTTAGTGCGTGTGTGTGTGTTAGTGCGTGTGTGTGTGTTAGTGTGTGCGTGTGTGTGTTAGTGCGTGTGTGTGTGTTAGTGCGTGTGTGTGCGTTAGTGCCTGTGTGTGTGTTAGTGCCTGTGTGTGTGTTAGTGCATGTGTGTGTGTTAGTGCATGTGTGTGTGTTAGTGCGTGTGCATGTGTGTGTGTGTATATGTGTGTACAGATAATGTACACATATACAGACACATATAAATATCCACTTACACTTGTTCATATCCATATACTTGTATGTACACATTTGCGCACATACACACATACTTGTAAGTCCAGCAGGAGATATTCAAAGCAAAATAGGGAAGGAATTACCTTGCCTTTGCAAATGTGGTAAACAAGGCACACTACAGATTTCAGGAAAAATAGATTTTATGTGTTGACAGATTCATTTCCTGTACAGTTTAAAAGAAAATACTGTGTACAGTTTGATGAACTGCAGAAGGTAGTACAATTTAATGCAGTGTTTATTCATAGTATGTGAATAAAGTGGTGATATTTCTTTTTCTTTGATGAAGTGCCTTTGACAGAGGCAACAGGGAAGCTCCATCTTTTGTAAACCTCATTATTGCATTATTGCTTTTAGCCATTTTTATTTTTTTATTTATTTATTTTTTATTTATTCTTATTTTTTCAGTGTTTTAAATGAAGGCTTTTTTTTGTTGTTGTTGTTGTTTGTATGATAAAAAAAGAGTATGATTATTTGGAGATTTTTGTAATCTGACAAGAGCTAGAAATGCAAATAGAAAATATTTGAGTCTGACCATTTGCTTGAAGGTCTGAGCACCAATCCTTGTTTTAAATTGATTGTCAGAAAATTTGGAATATACGTGTACCATTGAGGCACTCAGTAGTTGTATTAATTACTAAGAGTGCTTCCTGTTTTACATGTACAGCCAAGGATCATAAGTAGTCAGGATGCATTAATATGATTTTTTTTTTTTTTTTTTTTTTTTTTTTTTTTTTTTTTTTTTTTTTTTTTTCCTGTGATTTTACTTTTATTTGACTCTTGTTCTCTTTCCTCTTCTTTCTTATCCTCCCCTCTCATCTCTCTTTGCTCTTCATTTTCCATGTTCCTTCATTCATACATATGTATATATATATTTTTGTAAAGTGTTGAGGAAGTGGTATTGTTTTGAGTGATGTATATATATTTTTTTTCTTCTTCTTTTCATAGGTTGATTTCATAGTTTCTTTTATTAATCTATGTTAACAGCAGATTTAGTATAAGGAATACGATATTGTGATGTCATCTTTTATAGTGTATTGTGAGATAAGACCCTCTTTTCCATGAATTTTGGATGGTACATTTTTAGAAATAAATGTATGTATTGGAGAAAAAGAAACAGGAACTGCTTATTTTAGCCCTGAATCTTTTGTGTTATGTTGATTTTTTCTGCATTCTTGACTTCATTCAGTTTTGTTCTATCTATAGTGCAAACCATTATTCCATTATTAGGATTTCTGCCATGAAATAGGAAAATTATGCGTCCCAAAATATTGGAGAATGTAAATCCGGTGTGGATTCATACCTAAAAGAGCCGTGAAAAAAAAAAAAATTCTGTTCGAATCGAAGAAAAATAAAACGTTTTTACAAGATGCATGTTTCATCCTTGTTGACTAAAGATCAGGTGCGGCAAAGAGAAAGAAGAGACACCCGCGCTCTGACTTGCCTGGTTCCAAGGTCGATGTCTCTGATTGGCATCTAATAGTAAAGGATTAGGAGTGTGGCCTTTTGACGCACACTTGGATGCATTCCCGAGTTTGTTTGTTTTTTCTTTTTCTTTTTCTTCGAGCTGAAACCCTGGCTATTTGTGTAACAGTGATTGTCAGATTGCGTGAAGTGACACTGAACATCAGTTAAAAATATAAAGTAAAGTGAAAGAATTGATGTTATAATGGATATTTCTGTTAACTCCAGTTCATTCTCAAACATCAAGTGTCTTGCAGTTAATTAGAGTGAACTGTTATAAACATACAGATTAAGCTGTACCAATTTAGTTGCAGTCATTTCCATTTTAATTCAGTTGGCACACTGGGTATACATGAAGAAAATTATATATTTAACATAAAAGTTAATGTTACCATCTCTAAGATATGTTTTGTGGAATATAAAGGAGAGAGAGAGAGAGAGAGAGAGAGAGAGAGAGAGAGAGAGAGAGAGAGAGAGAGAGAGAGAGAGAGAAAGAAAGAAAGAGAGAAACTGAGAGAGAGAGAGAGAGAGTGAGTGTGTGAGTGTGAGAGTTAGAGTGAGAGAGTGCATGCATGCGTGCTTGCATACGTGAGTGTGCTGTATATATCTGTTTGTATATATTTATGCATATTTATGCATTCAAAATTTCCTTGAGCCTGCATAGTACTGATATACAACACTTACAATGTTACTCCACTCGGAAAAAGATTTTTGAATGAAACTTTTGTTTTGTGTTCCATTTTATTGATTGATTAATGAATAACTGCATTTCCAGTTTATTCTGTTAATGTTATATATATTATTATTATTATTTTGTTTTATTTTTTCTATTATGATTATCATCATCATCATTATAATTAGCGTCATCCCTATTACTATTAGTTTTTTGGTTGTTGTTATTCATGTTAACAGGAAATCTGGTGTCATTTCAATTCATTTAGAAGGGAGAAAACTCATGCCTTAGATTTGCATTAATGATTTAAGAATTAGTATCATAAAAGACACAATGATAAAAAAGGTAAGATCAAAAACTGTAGTTCACTTTGTGCCACTGATCTTTCAGAAAATCTGTGTGTGTGTGTGTCTTGTGTCTGTGTGTCTGTCTGTGTGTGTATTGTTCTGTCAGTCTGTCTGATTGTATGTCTGTCTTTGTTTTTTTCATGCGCACATATTCAAGAGTGTCTGAGTGCTTAAAGTACCATGTGATCAAAATGATTTGCATACTTTTCAGTAACATTATGGTACCACAAAGTTCACTGAAATGAGTTCAGTGAACCTTTGCTCAAGCAGAGACACTGCCTACACTTTTATATAATGCATATTGCTCACTTGTACCACATATTTTGTTTGTAATCTGCCCTCTGTGCAAACTAAGACTATGAGATTGATGGCATAAGACTAAGATTGGATTTAATATTTTGAATATAATATGGAAAATGTGTTGAACTAAAGATTATGGGAAGCAATGTTTGCAGATAATGCTACCACAATATGAATAGATCACTTTAGGCAAGATGATCAAGTAGGTTTTGCTCTCTCTCACTCTTTCCTTCTTTTTTTCCCCCCTTTTCTTTCTTTCTTTCTTTCTTTCTTTCTTCCTTCTTCCTTTCAAAAACCAGAATTTTTACTCTTTACGATATCTTTACCCATTATTTCTCCTCAAATTATCAGTTAGCTCTCCTTTTCTGGCAAAGTATCGAAAGTACCTTGCCACAAAAAAGCACAACAATCTTCTGATTTTCTGATTGTATCACATCTACACACAAAAAAGAAAGGAATATCAGACACCATTATAATAATATAAACAGCACTGGTAATTTAGTAGTTTGTCATTCTCTGTCAGAGCTTTTTCTTTCTGGTTGATCTAAAACAAAGATTTTAACTTCATTGTGAGTGCATCAGAATTTGATACAAGAATGTATGTATGTTTTCATTTCATGGGCAAAGTGAGTGAATAAAGGAAAGTCAGATGATGTTACATATATATATCTTCAAAGTTAGATAAGTTAAATTATTTCATGGCTTGATTAGAGTGAATGAATGTTGTCAACTTTGAGTTACATGTTTTAAACAAGTTTCAGGATCATTAATCTTCTTTGCCTTTCCCTATTCTTGACATGCAAATAACACACTTTTTTATCCTTTTTAATGTCAGGAGATGAATTCTTACATACTGTAAAAATCATTTATTTATTATGTGAGATAACATCAACCAAATGTACAAGAAATGGATTTTTTTTTATGTATAGTACTAATATCAAAGAGTGGTGGTTTTGACATAAAGTCAAATGGCTTGTCTCATTTTAATGTCTCGGTTTCAGAGAGATAACGTGTGTGATGGAAGTCAGTACGGTGAACTTTTGCCTGTGTGTACTTTATTATTTTTTGGTTATCAGTTTTATCCAGTGAATTGATATTTCCATTGTTCCTCCCTTTTCTGCTTTTTTCTTGTACCTGTTAAATTGATTGATTTTTAATTACCAGGAAGTTATTTTGAACATTGCATATTTACAGAGCTAGTAGAAAAGGCTACTCATTTCCAGTTGAGAAGCATTACAGAAAGAAATGACCTTTATATTTTATTTTGAGTAAATAGTAAATGCTGTAGTAGCGCCATAACACAAACTACTTCTACTGAATGTTGCTCTGTGGGGACTTTTCTAAAAACAAAAAACAAAAAACTTAAAAAAAGGAAATATCTGTCTAACTCGTGTACCGAAAGGATTTTGTTTTGCGTGTAAGGGGTATTCAGTGTTTTTCATGTTAAGCAGAGGAAGTGGTGTATATGTCTTTCAAACTGTTTTTCCCCTTTAGTTCTTGGTCTTTCTGTTGAACCAATTGAGTTGATTTCATTCTTGTATGTATTTTGTAGACTGTATACACACTTACAAGACTGTATGGTCATCAGTACAAACAACTCCCAACATGAAAAAAAGAAAAAAATGTAAAAAAAAGAAAAAAAAGAAAGAAAAAAGAGGAAAATATAACTTACTTTGTCTTAACTGTCCAAAGTGGGCATATATACATATATGTACAGTCAGTACCCTAGTGATAGTAGTATAAAGTATTGTCTGAAAGATAATTACTCGGGTTTGTGAGTGTACTGTGAATAGATATTAAACCTAGATTTTTGTTTCGAGGAATAGCACTCTGGTGTAGAATGTCTTTATTTTGCAAGTTATTCCATAAGAAGACCTTTTTCTTCAATGCAGTTTGTATCTATTAGCAGAACTATAGATTTTTCATCCAAAAAAAAAAAAAACAACCCAAAAAACAGAAAGTTCACAGTGTAAGTCGATGTGAACCAAATTGTAGCTTGTATATTCTTAATCATGGCTTTGAGAGTGTGAAACAATTACTCTTGATTTCCCACTGGTAAGAGGAAGAAAAAAGGCAGTTTATGCTAGAATACAATGGTGAAAATGATAGAATTTCTCAGCATATTCGCAAGAGGTTAAAAGTAAACAATTGGGAAATTTAGACTATTGTTTCACAATTAGTAATTAGGTATTTAAAGCAAAATTATGAGTAAAAAAAAAAATAAAATTTCAGTCAAGTTTTTAAAAAGATATAATGAATGTGAAAAGTCTGAATGTAGATTTAAATACTGTTGAAATATGTTGATTTCTTTTTCTCATACACTTAACAAATAAAAGTGTTGATGACTGGTATTTCTTTTCTAACCTTCATTAGTGATTTTCACAATGTTGTATTGTACAATAGGAATTTCAATGTTCAAATTTAAGGTTTTTAGATGGTATGATTTGAATCACAAGTTGATGATTCTTATTCCTTTCATCATTAAATGGAATCATTTATGGGTGATATTTATATCATGTATATCAGTGTATAATTTATACTGAATGTTGGTAAATCTTGGGGTTACAAGGTGAAGGGTAATCACAGTGTTTAGGCTATGGCAGTATAATGTCTTATGTATCATTATATGACTTATGTTACATCATGTGACTTACCATACTAAAAGCACATTATGCTCTGAAATGACACAAGTAATGGAAGCAGCTGATGTTCAACCCACATACTGTAATGTGCAAAGCCAAGTGCAGTGTTTTTGGCTCAGTATCCCTCATGTTTTCATTGCTCCTTCAGTGTTCATTACCATGAATGTGTATATCATGTGCTTATGAATCATGTGATTTGACATATATCCGCAGGTTTATAATGATTTTATTCGGAGCAAATGGGATACCATGGAAACCCAAGAAGAGAAACTCGGTAAGTTTATAGTCTGTTTCGTAATGTAAATTATTATATTTATCTATGCTATTATTATTTACTATTATCATTTCTTTTACAACCCATGGACCCATTTTGCAGCAAATTGACCACACTGTCTTTATTAGTAGGATAAAAGTGACCTAGTTTTGTCCAGGATTGAAGGAAATTAAGATATTTCTTGTGTGTTTGTTAGAAAAGAAATAAGTGTGTGCTTCTTCAGTACATTTACTGATTGATATGTAAGTTATGCCAGGTTATAATGAGGACTTAGATTGAATGAGGGAAATGGCATGATTAGCTAACATCTAATGATACTTAGTAACCTTCTGAGATAAATAAGACTAGATTTGCTTCCTTATTACATTATTTGTACATCAGTCTGGACCCAACATGCACCCCAAAAAAAGGCCATAAATTGTATATGGGCTTAATTTTCCTTTTGTAGGAAGTGCAGTTCCCGTAGAAGTTGTTAACCCATTGACACCTGAGGTGGATGTCCACTTTGGCTTTGTTTTATTAATTTTGCTTACTCAGAAATGGTTTTTCAAGTGCCTAGTTGCCAATGATATAGTGACTAAGTCTACTTGACCCCTCTTGTGTACCGCATTCTTAACATTTTAGGAAGAAAAGTTTTTGCCCTATAGCTGTTATTATTGTTATTAGCTTAATGATAGCAATGATAATTACGTTAGAAATGATAACAGTAATAGAACAAAAGATTCTTTTCCAAAAATTTGGGGAATGCAGTAGAGAGATGAGATCAAGTAGACCCAGTAAATGACCTCTTGGTGACCTAGTGTTTATGAGGCCATCTGTGTGTAAACAAGACAACTAAAACAAAGCCATAGTAATCAACACATGTACCTGGTACCAATGGTTTAAGAATCTGTTACACAAGAAAATGTTTCATCTACTTTTTCTTTTGATTCTTTCTTGGAATATGACCACTTACAAGTAGCATAGGACACTACAGTCTTGAGAGAGACTTCACCTTTCAACCTTTTATTTTATTTATTTATTTATATACATGTTTAGTTTTTTTATATATTTTCTTACTCTTAAGTAGAAATTCGGTTATATGAAAGGTACTAACTCTTCTTTTCTCTCTGAAATCTACAGACAAGCTTGATGGTGTGAGGTCTGCCAAGAAGCGCATGGGGACAGGACAACCCAAGTCTATCGAAGATTGGCTCCAACTCTCCGAAGACTATGATTCAAAGGTAGCACAACCTGGAAAGAAACGGGTATGTAAAAACGAGCGTTGGTTCTTCTTAGACTTAGTGATTTCTTATCTTTGTTTCCTCTAACTCCTCTTAGGGAAGGGTGGGACTGTATACCATGCTGTTTAATGTTTCTTTTTCGTTTCTTGTCTTTTCTTTTCTTTTCTTGTCTTTTCTTGTCTTTTTTCTTCATACCCAGTTAGATAAAAGCATTTTTAGATAGCTGTGGGATAGAAGATTATATCTGAATATTAGGTCCCACACAAAATAGTAATTGCCATGTAACAGAGGCATAAGCCACCCATTTTACTAAAACTATTTCCATGGTATGAAGCTAAGCTGTATGAGCATTTCATGAAGGCATTTTTTCATTATGTTGTCTATAAGACTGAATCATATATTAGATTCAAATTGATATACCTCTGTCTCAAAAAGAATCTTACAATAAGGCAGAGCATGAAAAATCAAGTGGTAATTTTGGTAGTTACATAACCAGAGTATTAGAGTATCTTGTGCACTCAGCAGCCTCCAGTGTATCTCTTGATGACATTGGAAACTTTTCACTCAGGAATGTTTGTGACCCACCGGGGATCAGCTTAGGATCAGTGCCATGCTATTTGTATTTTTATTTATCCACGGGTGCTAGGCTTGCTGGATTGCTTTTATATATACACTGCCCACTGTGTTCTTTTTTCTGTCTTTCTTTCTTTCTTTTACATAGATGTCACCAAGGAGTTAACTACAAGGCCTAACTGACCTCACTTTTTATCCCGTTCTTGGAATTCAGAAGAAAAAAAGGTTTTATTTCTAATGCTGGCATTTTCGTTATTAACATTTTGTATTTTGTTTATAAACGAAACTGATAAAGTAAAATTACAGTGGACATTGAAAGTATACATGCCCTATCAGCATCAACT